AGCCGAGGTCACTCAGTCCTGGACCCTCGGCGCTGCCTCTGCCGCCCGAGCCCTGCGCTGCCCTCGTCCCGGGCACCTCCCCGAGATAAGCGCCTCCTGGGTGCCCTCCCCGATCTCCCTGGCCAAAGCCTGGGTGTCGCCGGATCGTTGCATTCCCATTTCGCGGATCAGTAGAATGAGGCGCAACGTTGAGGACCAAAGCTGCAATCTCTGATCCTGCACTGGGCTGTCTCAGTGCCTCACATCAGCGCCAGGTCCTGCCCGGACCTATTTCTCAGCAGGACAGGCCGAGTCCGGGGTGGGCGCGGGGCCGGCCTGCCCCGCCATCATTCCCCCACGCTGTTGTCGCAGGTGTTCTTCAACGGTGCCAACGTCCGGCAGGTGGACGTGCCCACGCTGACCGGAGCCTTCGGCATCCTGGCGGCCCACGTGCCCACGCTGCAGGTCCTTCGGCCAGGGCTGGTTGTGGTGCATGCAGAGGACGGCACCACCTCCAAATACTTCGGTGAGTTCGGTGGAGGGCTGCAGGGCCAGGCCAGACCCGGGCTGCACATCCCAGGTCAGTCTCCGTCTCAGTTGAGGCTGCGAGAAAAAATAGTTATAGGCCGGGCGCGGTGGCTCACGCCTGTAATCCCAGTACTTTGGGAGGCCGAGGCAGGTGGATCACCTGAGGTTAGGAGATCGAGACCATCCTGGCTAACACGGTAAAACCCCATCTCTACTAAAAATATAAAAAATTAGCCGGGCGAGGTGGCAGGCACCTGTTGTCCCAGCTACTCGGGAGGCTGAGGCAGGAGAATGGCGTGAACCCGGGAGGCAGAGCTTGCAGTGAGCGGAGACTGCGCCACTGCACTCCAGCCTGGGCTACAGAGTGAGACTCCATCTCAAAAAAAATATAAGTATATATATACAGAAAACTAGTTGGGTGTGGTGGTGGCCGCTTGTAATCCCAGCTACTCAGTAGGCTGAGGCAGGAGAATCGCTTGAACCCTGGACGCAGAGGTTGCAGTGAGCGGAGATCGTGCCACTGCACTCCAGCCTGGGCAACAAGAGTGAAACTCCGTCTCAAAAAAGAAAATAGTTTTAGCAGGTTTGTCCACTGAGCAGCCTGGGCTGGGCGGTGATGAAAGCGAACCAGAGGGGACCCTGCTCTCAACCGGTTTACGACTGGCTCTGGACTAACCAACGTGTGATGGGTGAAGCAAGAGACGTAAAACCACCCAGGCCCAGTGGCTCATGCCTGTAGTCTCAGCACTTTGGGAGACTGAAGTGGGAGAATCGCTTGAGCCCAGGAGTTCGAGACTAACCTTGGCAACATAGTGAGACCCCCGTCTCTCCAAAAAAAAAAAAAAAGAAACTAACCAGGCGAGGCTGGGTGCAGTGGTTCACACCTGTAATCCTAGCACTTTGGAAGGCCGAGGTGGAAGGGTCTCTTGAGCCCAGGAGTTTGAGACCAGCCTGGGCAACATAGTGAAATCCTATATCTACAAAAAATTAGCTGGTTGTGGTCCAGCTACTTGGGAGGCTGAAGCAAGAGGGCCGCCTCAGCCGGGGAATTCAAGGCTGCAGTGAGCTAGGATCATGCCACTGCACTTCAGCCTTGGTAACAAGAGCAAGACCCTGTGCCAAAAAAAAAAAAAAAAACCCTCAAGAAACCATGTCAGGAGGGCTGATCAGATTAGGGGAGGAAGGTCATTTGTGCAGGAAAAAAGCAGTTTTAAGCATCACTGGTTTCCAATGGTAGAGCCGGGTTTGAACTCAGCTTGCTTTTGGCCCGGATCCCAGCTCAGCCATGGGTGGTGGGTCAGAGGGAGGGTCTCTGTCCCCAGGTGGTGCTTTTGGGGGTCCCTCCAGCTTCTAGTTCTTTCTTGGGGCCCCTGTTTTGTTCTCTAGGAGTTGCCCCCCATGTTGGGCCCCAGGGCCAGTCCTGTAGGTCTGTTAGGACACTCAGGACACAGACTTGAGTGTTTGTCGAGCTTCTGGTTCACAGGAGCCTCTGCACTTGACCAGGGGCGTCCCTGAGGCCGTCTGGCCCTGTGAGGTCTCACACCTTCCCCCCACCCCATTCCCCCAGTGAGCAGTGGTTCCATCGCCGTGAACGCCGACTCTTCCGTGCAGTTATTGGCAGAAGAGGCGGTAACGCTCGACATGTTGGACCTGGGGGTGAGTGCCAGAGGGGACCTGAGGCTCACCAGGGCAGGAGTTGTCCAGGCTGCGGGGGAGGGAGCGCTGGGGGACCAGGAGCCGGGCTGGGGTCCCTGCTGGCCCCTCACCGCCCCTCAATCCCTTGCAGGCAGCCAAGGCGAACTTGGAGAAGGCCCAGGCGGAGCTGTTGGGGGCAGCTGATGAGGCCACTCGGGCAGAGATCCAGATCCGAATTGAGGCCAACGAGGCCTTGGTGAAGGCCCTGGAGTAGGCGGTGCGTACCCCGTGTCCCGAGGCCCGGCTAGGGGCTGGGCAGGGGTGCCAGGTGGGCCCAGCCAGCTCCTGGGGTCCCAGCCACCTGGGGAAGCCGTGCCTGTCAAAGAGGCCACCAGAGGGCAGTGCAGGCTGCTGCCTGGGCCCCAGGCCCTGCTTGTGTTTAAAGCCCTGGGGACTGGGGCAGGGACAGACGATCCTCCTCAGCTTTGAGCTGTGGCTGCCACCCATGGGGCTCTCGTTCCACCTCTCAAGATCCCCCCAGCCTGACGGGCCGCATACCATCCCCTCTGCCCTGCAGAGCCAGCCGCCAAGGTCCACCTCGGCTTCGGAGCCACCTCTCTGGATGAGCTGCCCCCAGCCCCCGCCCCATTAAAGACCGGGAAGCCTGACTGCTCGGCTCTTGTTACTCCACCTGGCCCGGTGAAGCCGGGAGCGTCCTGGGCCTCTGCTCACGTTCTCCATGTCCCCCTGGGAATAGGGGCTTTGAGCTCCCTGGACTGAATGCCCCTTAGGGCACCAGGAGGTCTGAAGGAAGCAGGCTCGAGGGGGTGGGTGGGGTGCAGCCGGGCAGGCAGGGTGCTGACCTTCACCCCACGATGGTGGGGAGGGTGAAGGTCGCCAGTGATGGAGACATCGGGCGGGGAGGGGTGTCCCCGCCACTCCTGACGCCTCGGCCCAGTTCCTGGTCTCCAGGCCTTGACCCTGAGCCCTGCCAGCCCTTGGTCCCGCCCACTAGCCTCTGGGAAGAGGCGGGCCCCACCCGCTCCCACGGTGGCCCCGCCCTGTGCCCGCCCGTCCTGTGGGTGGCCCTGCCTGGCTGGGTGCCGAATCTGCAGTGTTTTTGGCACCTCCGTGGGCACCTAGGCTTCTGGGTTGGCCCCAGATGGAGTGGGGTAGGCCCAGGAGGGGGTGGCTCCCTGGCACTGCCCCGCTGGGCCCGCCTCTTCTCCTTTCCGTAACCCTGGGGGCGGGCGACACTGGCTCTAGGTGGTGTGCAGACGGCAGGGGTGGGGTCTCCTGACCTCCTCCCCTCCTTGGGATAGGGCCCTGTGGAGTGGGGTAGGCAAGGGATTCCAGGGGGGTGAGTGGGGAGGGTGGGCCTGCCTGTGTCACTGGAGCTGGGATGGTGACAGAGGCCACCCCGGGCCTGTCAGCACGGACGGGCAGCTTACTCCCACGTCATGGTCCCATGCTGGTGACTTGCCATGGCTCCACTTCAGGCCAGGTACCGTTGGGGGCCTCCAGGTGTGCTTGTGACTCTGAGGCCACCGGTCAGCAGATCAGGTTTTCCGGACAGCCCAGGGTCCTCTGCCTGGCTTCCTCTCCGCTTGGGCCTGAAGGCACGAGTGACCAGGCCCCCACTTCTCCAGGAACCCCCAGCCCAGGGAAGGCTGTGGCAGCCACTAGGCCACAGGAGCAGTCTCTGCCCAGGCCCCACCATCCCTGCCCCCCGGCTATAGCCCCAGGTCTTCGAGTTCCTGCCAGGCCACCAGGACCCTATAAATAAGACCGAGGGCACAGCTGGGACTTGGCAGGGGCTCAGGGGAGGAGCTGCTCACTCCGGGGACCCCCCTGCCCCCACCGCCAGGGAAGTGTGAGCCTTGGAGCCAGGCCTCAGGACACCCGAGACACCTGACACCCTGAGGGAACAGCCCGTGCTGGCCGGACGCGTCCTGGAGAAGGAGGCAGCCAGGGTGGGGCCGGGACCAGGCGGTCAAGGCCCTTCCGTGAGGACAGCCAGGGGCTCGGTGCAGCAGAACAGAGCACGGGGTTTGCCTCCATCACACCCAGGAACAGCGCACTCAACCATGGGGACACTGAATATGGGAAATGGTGGGGAAGCGTTTTAGCACGTTTATTCGTTTCAACTGGCTCTGGGCATCTGGTCCCCAAAGGGCACACAGTGGCCCCTGTGAAGCCCAGCATGTCCCTCAACCCATGTCCCATTCCACTCCCGACCAGACCAAGGTGACTGTGTCCATTTCACTCCCGACCAGACTGAGGTGACGGCATCCAGGGCTCTCCCACAACCCATGTCCCATTTCACTCCCGATCAGACTGAGGTGACGGTGTCCAGGTGATAGAGCCACACATGAAAGGCGAGAGGCAGGGAGGGAGGTGCGGGCTGCTGGCCACTCAGAGAGGACCCCAATGTCCTGCCCAGGCTGCCCATTTGGCGCCAGCCCACAGCTCCCTCCGCCACCTTTGTTCTCTGGAAGCAGAATAAGCCAGGCTCTGCAGGTCCCACCTGTGGCCCCAGCCTGTCATCCAGGCCCCATTAATAGACCCCAGCCCCTCCTCCCTCTAATTGGGCCCAGTTCACTAACAAGCCATTCCCACTTCCTGGACCATCGTTTTGTTTTTTTTTTTTTGAGACGGAGTCTGACTCTTGTTGCCCAGGCTGGAGTGTGGTGGTGCTATCTGGGTTCACTGCAAACTCCGCCTCCCAGGTTCAAGTGATTCTCCTGCCTCAGCCTCCCGAGTAGCTGGGATTAGAGGCGTGCGCCACCACGCCAGGCTAATTATATATTTTTTAGTATAGACAGGGGGTTTCTCCATGTTGGTCAGGCTGGTCTCGAACTCCCGACCTCAAGTGATCCGCTCACCTCAGCCTCCTAAAGTGCTGGGATTATAGGCGTAAGCCACCACGCCCCAATTTTTTTTTTTTCTTTTTTTTTTTTTTTTGAGACAGTCTCGCTCTGTCACCCAGGCTGAAGTGCAGTGGCGCAATCTCGGCTCACTGCAATCTCTGCCTCCCGGGTTCGAGCGATTCTCCTGCCTCAGCCTCCCGAGTAGCTGGGACTACAGACGTGTGCCACCACACCCAGCTAATTTTTGTATTTTTAGTAGAGATGGGGTTTCACCATGTTAGCCAGGCTGGTCTCGATCTCTTGACCTCGTGATCCACCCGCCCCAGCCTCCCAAAGTGCTGGGATTACAGGCGTGGGCCACCGCACCTGGCCACATCATCTTTTTTATGTGACAAACTGCTACTCATTCCTCAAACCCCAGCCCCTGTGACCCCCTTCCAAGGGTTATCCCAGTCTCTCCCTCTCTGGCCTAGCCCTGACCCTGCGGGGTTGGGTGTGCCTGTCAAGGTGGGGGCCACAGCTGCCGGGAGCATGGGTGGCAGCCGGAAGGAGACCTGAAGCGGAGCGCAGCCCTGGGAGAGGCGCCCATGGCCAGGGTGGGGGTGGAGGTGGTCAGGCCAGACACAGGGAGGAGCCAGATAAGTGGACAGGAGGTGCTCCAGTAGGGATGGGGTCCCCTTCTCTGGATGAAGGGGCAGGACAGGACCCACCTCAACCAGGACCATCCTCAAAAAGCCGACTGGGAAGGGTAAGATGCACACCACATTCCTGTCTCATTGGCTGTGGCCTCAGTTTCTTCATCTGTAAAATGGGGTAATGCCCACCCCAGAGGCTGGGAACCAGTGCATGTCCTACATTAATGGGGGGGTGATGACCCCAGAGTGAGCCTGCTGCATCCCCTCACCACACTCCCACCCACCCTGGAGAAACTGAGGCTGGGAGAGGCCAGTTACCTCCCGAGGTCACAGCATAGCCGGCTGGTGACTGGCTGGGCACAAGGCAGGCCTGGCACTGGCTAATCGCTCCATAAATGCCCTCTGAGGTCACCATTGACAGATGCAGGAGGCCAGGGCTGGCCAGGGCACCCCCACTCCACGGCAGGTGACTCCAGCCTGTTTTCCTGGACGACGGCCGCTGACTCAGGCCCCTCTTCCCGTCCCCCCCACGCGGGCGCCCCCAGGCGGAAGCACCAGGCCTGGGGCGGCAGGAAGGGGGCGGGGCAGGGAGTCGCGCTGTACACCCCGAAACCCTGTCCCGGTGACGATTCGGGGTGCATCCGAGCCCGTGGCTAGGCAGGCCGAGACCCCTGTAT